ATTCTAATTGTTCCTAACGTGATAGAATGATCAAAGCATATATGCCATCATTTGATAAGCAGAATTTTTCTATTAGTATGAATATTTATACAGTACTTAATATATGAGTATATAGTCAATCATTATCTTAAATTTTTATGACTAAACATACTTTTTATCATGATTTTTAAAGAAACTTTTTAAAAATATCATATAAAAAAAACAAATATGTAAAGAAAAGTTTTATTCAATAAAATTTGATTTACTTTCATTTCACATAAATTATAAAAGTGGAATTATTAAAAAAAAAAAAAACATATTATCATATCATTTTCATCAAAACCAAAGCTTTGTAATTTAACAATTTTAAAGAATTTAACTCTGTTATAAAAGAAATTAATCAGAATTATAAAAAAGCATATATTAATTTTTGCTTAAAACTATTATAATTGGTTCCTATTTCTCGAAGCAATATTAGCCTATCCAGATCGACTTGTTATTTTGCACTGGTTATTTTTGTTGAGTGCTATAACATGTGTTTGCTTCATACATTTGTATATAAATGCTATTGTATAGATTAATAAAAAGAGAGCGAGAAGAAGAATATCTAATCAAAACATGCATAGAAAAAAAAGAAAAATTTTAAAATATTTTTCTATTTACTTTTTTTCATGTAAATATCATCTGTAGTATGCTTAATGTTTAAAGAACTAATTGATTAAGGCAAGTTTAGAGTGGCAACACTGCTGGTATGACCTTTGGCAGGAATGATTATTGAAGTATAAATAAGTGGTAAATAAAGTAATTAATTACTGTATCATCATCAGTGTTGAATTTGCAACATTAAACATGACTGAAGATTTGATCCAGGCAATAAAGTTATCTGACTATCATTATATAGAAAAGGTGGAATCACTAGAAATTTATCAGATTTCATGATACAAGTTTAAATATAAATATCTCAAAACCAAATTCATTAGTAAAAAGTCAAACCAATCTTATAAAGCAGTTGGTTTAGACTTACACAAGTTTAAGTAGGAATGTAATAAAAATTAGATGTGGATTGATGGAAAAAAATACCAAACTAAAGGTGAGGCATACTTATATATGTCTTTGGTAATTTCTGAAAAAGTTGTAATGGTAGATGAATATATGATGCATAAAGAATTTTTCATAATTTTCAAACTATTAATGGGTTTAAATAAAGGAAAAACTGTTGGAAAAAAATANAAAAAAAGAAAAATTTTAAAATATTTTTCTATTTGAAAAAAAAAAATTATTATTATCCATCATCACTGAATTGTAAGATTTGTGGTGTTTATTACATAATGATTTTGATTTCTATATTTGTAAAATTGGAAAATTTGTATGTTTTATCAGATGTTTGAAGTAAATCTGTTATCTATGTAAATTTGATGAAAATAAATGATATACAAGAAATTTTCTGATCTCTCTTCAGGAAAAACACGTGTACATATTTATTTGCAGAGGAAACAAATAGTTATTAATTCTAAATAATACGGTTTCTAAGTAGAAATGAATTAACGGTTGATGTATAATGTTTTTAAAAAAATTCAGCGACAAGTTACTTAACTTTCCCGGCAACATTTAAAACTGCGTGTGGCGTAGTGCCATCTGTTACGATATTTCATTGTTAAAAACTATATTTTAATTATAAAATGGCAAAAAGCTTAATTTTGAGGGTAGGAATGGGTTTTCAAGAAAATTGTAAAACTAATAACGAGTGAAATCGTCATTAAGTCCGACCCTATTGGAGATGTGGCACACGATCCCCTTTATCTCTCCACCCCCCTCGACCTTTAACCACCAAAATTTAATAGCATCGATCCCCTAATACACAAACCTCCCTGCAAAATTTCGGCAATTTTCGACAAAAGGCACGAGTTATTAAGCTTCAAACAGGGTGAACAAAATCGTGACCCTCCCAGAAACTAACATCCATACATACAGAAAAAAAAACCCGAATTTTTTGCATTTCTCGACGTTACAAGTCTCGAGTTCAAAAATGTAAAAATCTTGGGAGGATCATTTTTTGATTGATCGCCATACTTTCCCTCTGTTATATGTAATATAGCTGGGGGGAAGTAAAAAGTATGTACATAAACTCAAATTATCCATATTTATTTTAATTAACAACTTTTTTCTAAATGCAGAAAATACACTATATTAATTTGTAGATACATTTCCACATAATTATATACAGACGTACTGTACATAACTGGGTGTTTGGATAGGAAACAAAAGAGGACCATTTTAAACAGAAATCCAATTATCCGGATATGCGGAATATCCGGACGGCCCGAGTCCCAATTAATTCGTATAATTGGAGTTTTACTCTACTTCAATTAGTTGAATAGGTGATGCGCCGCGATGGTTTATTATGCGTTTTGCGTGCGGAAAGTGATTCTGGTGTTTTTACTTTTACTACAACATTTAATTAAGAAGTAAATATATCCTGATTAATTATTCATTTCTTTGGATTCATGTTAGTTCAACTAGCCATGTGGGTGTCACCAACGATCTAATTTATGTCATTAACTTAAATGGCTGATTGATGTTTTAATCAATACCGAACTTAATCAAATGACTGATAGAAAGTTAAATAAAGAATATAGTTTTTAATCAAATTGTGTTATTAGTTATTAAATTAATCAACAGATGGCGATATATTTGATGCGTTTAAAAAAATTTAAACTGTTAAGTGACTAAAATTAACCAATCACATTTCGAGTTTTGTAATTTCGAATGGAATTTAGCCAATCGTTACGTACAGAAAATTAAACACGCGAATTCCATTAATATCGTCAATAAAATGTCCAAGAACTTAATATCGAAAGGAAATTAACCTTCAAATCTGAGATTTATGTAACATTAGAGAAGTCTTAAATCATAATAAAATACTATTTTATATGGAATTTCGTAGGTTATAGTGATTGCTTACAGGAATTGAGTGACGTCAGCAGTGTATAACCAAAGATCGTAAATGCTATTTTTATATTTATATTAAAGAATATTTCCTTAAATATACTACTCGCTGAATAAACAACACTTCGAAAATATGAAATATTAAATAGTTTACAATAATAAGTGGATAGGAAGAATTTAAAATAGATCTTCACCCCCATTCGAAGGACTATAAATAATAAACAATACAAATATACTTAGTTGAATTTTTAGTTAATTTCCCACTAGATGGCAGTAAATTTGGAAATGCAAATGTAATCATCTTCAGGAAGAATTAATGGAGACTTTTGTAATTTTGTTTTTTGGTTTTGATTTTTTTAATGTAAGAAATAAATATAATGAAGTGTAAAGTCAATGACTCTATTTTTATGCTTTATGAAAAACTATACATATCATTTTTAAGCAAACAAATAATATTAAACATTCATCAACATCGATAGCTTTTATATATTCACCGATATCCTATAGAGTTTCTTTAATCATTTTTTAAAAGTTGAATGAACTTTTAAGTCAATTTACAAAAAATTCAAATAGATAGATGATAAAAGATTTTAAAAAAATATATAAATTTTTTAGGAGGAAGAAACTCTTTAAATAAAGCAAAATTTTAATAAAACCTTAGAAAGTGTTTTGTAAATTATTTTAATCCATTTTATATTCGTTTAGCGAGTTATAAAATGTTGAAACACGTGAATAGGGATAAAGAAAAATTCAATTTTATATCCTCAGTCAGTTTATTCCCAGCTCGAACGAAGGATTTTACTTGCATTTGATAAAAGCTGAATTTGCCTACATGTTTTTACATCTAAACTACGTAAATACCAGCTTTATATAGGTCCAAATCCGGTATTTTCTCTTTATATATACACAATTATATAATTTTCTCGTGTATTACTTTCAATGATCTCTTATCATCGACAAAACGTCTTATCACAAAAAATGTATAATATTTTATTACTGATTTAACTTTTTTCTAATTAAAATATTTTGTAGAATATCCGATATTCAGTTTATATCAAAGGTTAGGAAATTAATTTCACAATTATCAAGAGATTTTAACATAAATACGTCATAAAATCACAGTTCAATCAGCGAAAGGAGAACATCGAATAACTTTTCCTCGTAAGAAATATGTTCATAAACAATTAAGATTGATAGATAAAGTACTTTTATGATAATTAAGGTGTGGGAGACTGATCGAACGTCGTATAACGAATAACAAATTAATTAGGCGCCATATCAGCGCATTCAATAAAATGATATTGGTGTAACTATTAAAAACTGAAGACACCGTACAGTTTTTATCTCATCCCACTTCTCTAGAGTATATGAAAATTGACATTCGACTCGATTAAACTCCATCTAAAAATTGTCTTTCATTACAACGAGTTATCGAGTTATTCATTTTTGCATCTATTATCGTTTTTAGAATGTTTTTTTTCTTAAGTAAAATGCAAATTAATTCTGTTTAACATGTATAAAAACAGGAAATTTACTATTAAAAACTTTAAAAATAGGTCAGGATGGAAGGACAGACCAACTATGGTGACTTATTTTTAATATTTCGTTCTATAACTCACCACTGGTTGTGAATATGCACGGTAATAGGACATTGAGGATATTAGGGAAGTGATTTTCTTTTCATTCTTAACTGAAAACAGCTGTTATGGTATTAACTACGGTTCAGTTTAATATCGCAGCCAGACATAGGAAAAATAGAGCAAAGCCGTAATAGTTCAACTAAACAAGTATAACAGTTTGATAATGATTAGACGGAGTGTGACTGTCTCCAAAAATTAAAAAAATAATAAGGAAAATAAATAAATTTCGAACTCGAACAATTTTAAAGAATTTCTCCATCGTGACAGTTACATTATTTTAAAATATAGATCTTTAAATCTTCAATCCAAACTAAATTTTCAGTTCAGTGTCCAGTGAGACAAGTAATTCTCTGATGACGTCACAGGAGAAGCTTGTGATTGGTTGTGTTTAACCTGACTCAATTCACCTACGCGTTTACTGCAAAAGATGTTAAAGAAAACACCCTACGTTACTTTACTGTCGTGCCACCTGCATATAAGACGAGTTGACATCTATTAGTCGCTAAAAATCCGCCTGTCACTCGATACAGCTTCTTAGTAGCATTGCACTGTTCTGAGGAAAAGACAGTTTTACAGGGACGGTACTTTTCAGGTAAGTTTGACGTCAATGCTTTTAATTGTCATTTTAAAATCTCCACTTCGTTATATTACCGCAAATTATATGCATTGTTTTAAACACTTAATTAGTCATTTGTTTAAATAATTATTTAACTAATTTCTGTTAAATTATTTAATAAAAGTTTACATTTAAAACTGAGAAGTGCGATGTTATTCATTTCGAGTTAATCTTTGAATCCGGACAATTTTATATAACTTTTTATAACAAAGAGTTTGTAACAAAAGATAAGTACGTTGTGTAACAAGAGAAGGCCATACTAACTTTAAATCCTCGTTTTTCTTCTTGAAAAATATATCGAGTTTTAATATATAAGTATATTGTATATGTCACCATCAAAATATATTATCTGTAGCAATAACAATACTCTGATTTGTGCTTCTATCCTGTGATGCACTGTTATTAAGTAATACTTCAGACAAGATAGAACTGTTTATCCTTGTCATCTTTTGTGATCAAGCCATAAAAAAAAAGAGTCTCAAGTCTGCAACTGCAAAAAGTTAGAAGAAAAAAATATATAGAAAGTGCAAAGGTAACTGTTTGTGTGCAATTTGTAATTTTATAAATTAATTTGGTAAAAGTAAAGTGTTTAACACTTTAAATAAAGAAATATATATTTAAATGTAGTATAATAAAATAAAAAAATTAAATTTTTACTTATTCGTTAAAGAAACATGATTGATCTCTACGTGATATCATTAAAAAATAAAAGAGAATAATTATAGCAGAAGTTTTAATAACTAATTGGCTTTATTAAATTTTTAACTTTTTTAAATTAATGGTTATATTACTTTCCTATTAAAAATATTCGAACTTATAAAAATAGTAATAATAATAAATATATGCAGTTTAAGTAATTAGAAGAAACATCTATAAAGGATTTTAATTAAAAAAATCTAAGTTAAACATTCACATTTGTTTTTTTTATACATAACNATTTAAAGTTAATTAAAATTATTATTCTGTCATAATTAAATATTGATTAATTTATAATTGTTAATGAAGTTAAATATATAGTTTTTTTTTTTTTTTTAGAGACAAATACATGAAATTTCACTTCGAATTATATACATTTTTTTATAGATTTCTTCATCAAATTTATGTCTTTTAAATACATTTTGAACAATAACTGTAAATTCCATACATTATATACATCGATTTATACCTAATCTATAAAAGAATAATGTTATAATAATAAAATTTACCAGATATATATAATAATTTATATGGGATATATTAAAATCGAATAAAAATATAAATGGAATTCCCTGGACGTATATAATTATCTATAAAATTAAATATATAGTTCATAATAAAGCTTAGATTCTTTTATGACTCATTACAATAAATAAAATCTCATTAAATAAGTATTTAAATGATAATATTAATATTCGATTAATAACTATTTAATTTACTTATTCCATTTAGTTCGTAAGATATATTTATTTGAGATAAAGTTAATTTAAATGATACTTTTCTTCTTCCTCTAAAATAACTTGTTTTAATTTAATCTAGTAGAAAAAATATCGGTAAAAACAACTAAGAAAATTTCATTTTTGTTATGATTTTGAGAAAGTTAAAAGATATAAACGTTTTAAAATAAGTTTGATAAAACAGGATATTAATTTCTGATTTTCTCCACTTACGATCGGGTTATCAAAATAAATAGAATCATAACTGTTAAGTGTACCTGAGTTTATCAGATGTGTATTGGATTATATTTTCTAAATTTATCTAATTTCTCGTTGATAAGCCCACTTTATAACCATTTAAATAATGGGTTCATTCTATAAATGTGAAGATAATCAACTTAATAAAGTCTAAGGCTTATTACAATTAACTTTATTATTTAAATTTAGTAAAAATAACTTTATTTCAGTTAATACAACTCATTCTCCGATTCTATTGAATAGAAATGTGTTCGTAATTGTAAATATATTAAATTTTTCAATGTTTTAATTAAATTTAACTTCATTTTTTCTTTGAAAAACTACGAATAGAGTTTATTTCAAGGTATATATATTCCTAGAAAATTTGTAATTATGTACTGATTAGGATACCACATTCAATTAGAAGCTAGATTATTCATTATAATTTAAGTAACATTCTAATTGAAATGAATTAATATATTAATTAATAAGTGAATTCAACTGATTTATACCCTTTAAACACATTTAAGCGATATATTATAGAGTTAGTCATATTTGCTTGATACACATTAGATTCTAATTACATAAAAGATGGTAACTGAGTAAATTTGATCAATAGAACGGTGCCACATAACTATTTTGATCATAATTAATTGTCGTTAATTAGTGATAACCTGTTAATTCTATACGATAACTTAACGAATACATTTCCTGAGAATTGTAATGGCTATTTTTAAAATAATGTATGTAAAGGCTTAGAATTTAGATTTACAACATTTTTAAATTCTTCAATTAAATTAATATTTCTGTGAAGATCGCTATTAAAAACTAGTTTAGTTCTTCAGAAATTAAAGATGGTTCGAAGAGTGGCGCACTCAAAAGGGAGCCGAGTGTTTTTCTCCCTTTTTCTTTGGAAACCTTCAAAGAAAAAGGGAGAAAAACACTAGAAAATTTAATTTTTCTTATATTTTGACAGATAAACAGCACAAACAAATCTTTTCTTAATTAAAATTAATTTTTCTTATATTTTTCGTGTCTTTTATTTCTATACTTCGTACGAATTAGCGGTCACATAAGGTGGAAATTTTTCTTAAATTCGCATTAAAAATTTTGTTATCCGTTCATCTGTGCCACTGTTCGAAGAGATAAATCATACTTTTGTAATCATCATCATCATCATCGTCTATCCCTGTCCATCCCCTCTCAAAGAGTGATCGGAATTCTGACGTACTATTCCTCCAAACTATCCTATTGTGAGCTATCTCCTCATTTAAATCTTTCCTAACTACTAATTTCCAGCATTTCTTTGATCTATCTTTGCTTCTCCTTGTTCCAAAATTATAAATTCGTTTAACCAATTCATCTTCTCTTCTAACCACCCAAGCCACCTAAGAACTTTTGTAAAATATAGGCCTATATAAATTAACTCACTCACTATAAGGGAGTTTCTCTAACAAATGTCAACTCTAAGACACAGGAAAATACACAGATTTGATTATGACGCATGACTTAACTGATTTCCGCTTTACAATTGCAATTGATTACGAATTGATCGATAGTCTCAAGGCTCAGATCCAATGCTCTAATAATTATAATTGACACCAATAATAATATAAGACCGATGAAACGAAACTAATTTATTTCTTCGTATTAATTATCTTTAATAAGTTTATCTAACGATATATATTATTAAAAATATACGAATATAACGAATTTTAACGCGTTAATTACACATTATCTTGACATTTCTACGACCTTCACACTTGAAATTCATAAGAATCGAAAGCTAAAAATGTAACATAGAATCAAAATATCACATATTTTATTTATAAAACTTAATCCCTTAAACAATTCAAATATTTTAGCAATAAGTCAAGATTTTTTTAAAGTTAAACTGATATTTAAAAATATGTTTTTTACTTATTAGTAACAAATAACATTTGAAAAGACAATTAAAGCCGTGTTATATTTTGAAAAATTGATTCTGTATACCAAGATATCAAATAGTCTTATATAAATATTTTTGATATTCTGAATACAAAAGAACCAATAGCAGGTTTCTTCAGTATCATTTCATTTGCTTTCGTGTTTTTTTCTAAAAGCATTGCCTGTAGCAATAGGTAACGTTTAATACTATAAACAGAACAGTATAAGTTTGTTTTGTTCCTCAAGTCTTCAATTAGATGTAGTCCCATCTTTCCTTTGTATACTTCTAATATATATATATATATATATATATTTTCTTACTCCGGGGAAATGGTATAAAAGTATTAATCCTTTAATTTGCTAAAATAATATAATTCATTCACTACTAAGCTTATATAAATAAAATCTATGTATTTTTTTTATATTTCTTCCGTTTAGATTTAATAGTTTATATTCTTTTTTTATATAAAAAAAATTCAATTTTCTCCCCTCTAACAGATAAACAATTCTTAAATATGTTAAGTAAATCAAGACTTAAATGAATTGAAATAAATTGAAAATTCCCTAGTGAAATTTTCAATAATCGCCAATAAAGTTTAACTTTTTTTAAACTAAAATAAAATGTTTTTTATGTCCTAAGCAGACAAGAATATTCCATTAAACGAATTCCTTAAAACTGCGTAAATCTAAACAGGGGAAAAAAATATATATATATTTGAAAGAATTTCACCTGAATAATTTAAAGTTAATTAAAATTATTATTCTGTCATAATTAAATATTGATTAATTTATAATTGTTAATGAAGTTAAATATATAGTTTTTTTTTTTTTTTTAGACAAATACATGAAATTTCACTTCGAATTATATACATTTTTTTATAGATTTCTTCATCAAATTTATGTCTTTTAAATACATTTTGAACAATAACTGTAAATTCCATACATTATATACATCGATTTATACCTAATCTATAAAAGAATAATGTNCTTTAAATTCATATATATAACTCCTTTTCGATGTGAAGAAATAATCAATCTTTATTATAAAAATTCTACCCTCAATTTTGTAATGAAAGAATATATATTTTAGAGTAATTTATCTAAACATCATTTATGTATCAAACGAATCTGACATGGGAGTGAAGCATTTCCGAAAAGTGTTTTTACAAGTCATGTAACACCATAAATTTCATTTACGTCAGGTGTCAAATGATATACTTTACACTGACGTAAAATCGCCAATATCCGATGTTTAAAAATCAGATATATGAGCTTGATAATAAAGTCATAAAACGAAAACATCATAAAATCGAAAGAAGAAGGGAGGAAAAATTGAAATAGAGAAGGGCATGCTTAATCCTATTAATTTAATTAATCTAAATTTTATATATTTATATGGAAACATTCATAAAATTTTACGAGTTGATAGAAACTCTTAAGAATAAACAAACTTTAAATAAATATTTTCTAAAAGGAGCATTCGATTTAGATCTTTGTTCTGTTACCATCGGAAAATTTATCCGAGTCATTAGTAAACACTATAAATTAAATCTTCAAAAATGATAAGAAACTTTAATTGTTAAAACTCCTTTAAAATAACTTCAAACTTTTATCTAAAATATAGTGTTTTAATACAAATCTTACTTAATTTATACAAATGTTAACTAGTGTAATCAGCTTGAGTGAATAAACCTTTCCTATGAGATTCACTGTTTACCAATCTGTAATTCATACTGTTCATTCAAGCCAAAATCATTACTAAAATTAATAGAGTTTTCCTTGCTATTTACTTCACCGTGTCATTTATTAATAATTTTCTATTCAAAGTCAAGTTTCTTGTAATTTGTCTTCTTTATATTTCCCTCATTACTGTTATCATATTTTAGTCTTTAATATAAAATGTATGAGTTGTAACATTTTTATTTAAAAAGACAGGTTTAAAAGTATCCTGTTTCTTTTAATTGACTTTATGACACTTAATTATTAATATTAATTAACCACAACCCTTTGTTAAAATTAAAGCTTTTGTTAAGCTAAATTTTAGTTTTATCATTTAATATATGAGTATATAAATAAGTGAAAAAATTTAAAATTATATTTACGTTGAAGTGTTTTTATAATTTCGTATCATTTCATAATATTCTTTTAAAAACATTCAGAAGAAATTGTGTAAATAACAGATTGAAGATTTCTACTTAGGAAAGGTATTCTGTAATTCCTATAATTCAAGTAAAAACAACAAACTGTTCGTTATTTTTGTTAGAGAATTTCTTCTAAGTATCCTGTAAGAAGAGTTTTCGACTTTTATTCGAGTAAATATTCGAAAATACAATTTATTACAATGTTATAAACTACTTTCATAATAATTAGAATGTTTACAATATATGCAGTATTTAATTTTTATTAATAAATAAATTTATGATTATTATTTTAAAGTAATCATACAGAATTTGTTATTATCTTTTGCATATTGAAAGCTGTTTGTAATCTTTTGAGATTTATTCAGTTAAGGCAAATTAAACATTAATCCACAAACGTTAAAAATAACTCATAAAGAATGATCTTCTTAATGTTGTTTCTTTTTTTTTCATATGCATGTGTCAAAGACCTTTTAAATAAAGTTAAAAGCATAGAATAATAATAAAATTACGTTTGATCTGTTACTCGGAAGTCTTGTTTAATCTTTTTTAAAAATATACCACTCAAAGATTACTAAATTGTAAAGTTTAATAAGTTAATTTTATTCTTTTTAATCTAAAACTAAAATATTTTTTTGAATATAAAAACGAGAAATAAAAAATATGGAGTGCATCCTCTTTGCATTTTCTAAATTGAGACCCATCTAAAACCTTTTTTTGACATAAAACAACAAATATCCATTTTGTCTTCCATCTTACAGTGTTTTCCTTTCATCTAGCGCTCAGATTGACAGCTGGCAAGTAACCCAATAGAAAAACTCCATCGGAATTGACAATTCTTTTTTTTTTTTTTTTGGTTTCTTTCCATTCAAAAGTAAGAAAAAAAATCCACGATTAATAAATAGTTTTATAAAGACATTTATCGAATGAGTTGTCTAGAAAAGAAATCACATCTGAAAACAATTATCGATTCGTTTGGTTTTTATTGGAAATGTTCGACTTGCTCTTTACAAAGCTTTTAAGTCTTCTTAGAAAATCCTGTAATCCGAAGTGAAGAGGTTCATTAAGTGTAACGCTCACCACAATCAACACACTCCATCTACATGCTCCCTAGTCATTAGAGTAAGTTTCACAAGGCAACAATCAACAAACAGGCATCATTGCTTAACATCAAATTAGAATAAGTGGCATATTTGTATAAAAAATCATTAAAATTTTTAATCGTCTCTCAATCTTTCAAAGTAAAAATATTGTAAATGCAAATTTATGTAAGCAAAATCAATTATGCTAAACACGTCTTTATGATTTATCTCGTTTTAACTCAATAAACGTGTTTCTTTAGAAGAATTTTGTAAATTTCTAGTACAAACTAAAGAAAACAAATTTAGATTGACAACGTTTTTTTTCGGAATTCGATTATTGATTCCAAAACAGTGTACCTTTTTCTTTTTTTTTTTTTTCTGGTTTTAATTCTTTGTAAAGATTCGAGGAATGTGATGATTGATTATCTTTCTTTTAAAAAAATTTAAATTCTATCAATTTATCAAACTTTTTCTTTTCACACGAGTAACTAATCAAAAAATTCAATTTTATGGGAGAAGATACAGATTATAAAATATGTATAGGAGTATATAACGTTATACAGGACAAATTCAATTATACAATATACCTATATAATGTTGTATAATGATTACAACATTACTACATTTGTATTTTCCTGGAAAGTTAAGGTACTACAAACTAAAATATTGAATTTATATAGATTGCATTAAAATTATTATATTTTTAACGTTTAAAATGTTTATATTTAAAAATAAAAATAACCATTCGTTTGTTATAGTCTCAAGATTGTAAAGAATATAAAAAGAATAAACATTTTCAATAATGGTTTATTGATTATTTATAAATATGGAAATGTTTAGTAACATTAAAATAAACTGAAATCGATAGTGTTTCCACTTTCAATAATTAAATTGCCAAAACTGTCATTTCTTAAAGGAACGACCATCGAAGTCAAACACAAACCAGTCGATTAGCGATATGTTGAAGAAAATCCAACACAAGTAATGTCCCTGAGGTTTTGTCTCCATTATGATGTATTAGATAACATAAGATGTCTTTCTTGTTTGATTGAAACACCAAAGTAACTTTTTTTAGAGCATATTGTCAATATTGTTATTCTTCTGAATAAATTCATGATATAGGACATTATATGATCATGTTTATAACTACTACAAGTATTATCTATTTTATTTCTAACTCAATGTCAAATAACAGGAAAAATATAAGTAAATCCTCGATTTAACGTTTTTTTTATGTAATTGATTAACAGGTTACTTTTTTTAAATTCAAGTCATCACTCATATAGTGTCAGAAGACCCCCTTATAACAATATAGATAATTCCGTGTTATATGAATTTCATGTTGTACGAGTCACTTAGATTTTACAAATACGTGTGCCGGGCTGTGAACGGCTCATGTATTTATAAAATCTAAGTGACTCGTACAACATGTAATTCATATAACACGCAATTATCTACAGTGTTATAGGGGGTCTACTGTTATTTTCCAAAAGAAAAAACAATGTTTGTTTGTTTGTTTATTTCGATTTAGATCATATTGTTTATTAGCCACAGAATTTCAGTCAGTACAAATTCACTTATAACTTTTCTGCGAAATTAAATTCCTCATACGTTTGTGTAATTAAAACCATGTATGTATCTACGTATGTAAAAACAGATAAACTAACACAAGCATTCAACGAACCTACATTATTATAAATGGACTTTTTTTTGGCTTTAACACCTCGAATTAGCGCGTTAAATCGAAGTTTTACTGTACTTTTATATATGTATATAAGTATATAATATTCATAGCTATATTTTACTTGCCTGTATTCGAATTAGTGTATATAATAAATGATCACCGGACTTACTTATTGTGTATTATGGAGTTGGTAACCCGATAATGTAGGAATTTAAAAATTTTAAACACAATTTGCTATTTTAAGTAGAAACGGTAACAAGTATATAACTGGATGATGCAAGATCTTTGTTAAATTACTTTAGAATGAGTAAAAAAAAAGTTGTAGCGAACAATAGATTTAAACAAAAGACTTAGGTCAAAGTTGCCAAGTTACCTTTTTCTTCTTTCTGTTGTTCCAGTCACATCGAAAGCCGAGACCACAGTAATCAATAGAACGATGAGGTTACATCGTGGTTCAAGTCTCCTAACGTTTATTTTCTTTCTTTTTATCTTGACCATTACTTTCTCCATGCCCCACTATAGGTAAGTTCATTCTGATTAGCCTACACGAGCAATCTTTTCTCTTCTTTATTTTTACATTAACAACTTCATTTATCTTTAAAATAAAAAAATTTAAAACTCGTTACAAATCATCATTGTTTTATCATTGTTAAAAATCATAAAACTTACATAATTTTCTGACTAAAATAAAAATGGCGGCCATCTTCTTAGTAAGAAATTTTTTAAGTTTTAAATTTAATTTTAAATGTTATTATTTTAATAAATTAATTAATGGTTTATAAGTTATAATTTTATGGTTTTTAATCGTTAAATATTTTTTAATTATATAAAAATTTTAAAAACTTATCAAAACCAAACGCTAAATACTCAATCGCTACGATTAGCGATTGAATGACTTAATTGATCATAATTATAAATTAAATAAATAAATAATTATAAATTATAAATAAGCTTTAGGGATAAAAGAAGTGGGATATCAGATCAACGATTGGCCGAACTTGAAACTCTTATTAACCTCGCTAAACAGAAAAATCGCGGAAGACCGCCTATTGCATTCGGAGTAATTGATCCTCTGAAAGTGTAAGTGAATCCACTAAATAAATTTTCTTTAAATATAAACTTAAATTTTTTATCTTTTATTATTAAATATTATTAATCTAAAACATAAATGATCGATATTATGTAAATTTAACTTATTATATCTTTTAATTCTTTAAATTATAATTTAATTCTTTTTAAAATTCCTACTAAACAGGGGAAAACGGAAGCGTTCTAATGACGTCACGGAAATGGATGATTTGCGCGAACTTTTCGACGATCCTTTAAAAGAAAAGGAATACGCCGAAAATGCTCGATTCTGGGACTTAATGACGGATTTGAGGAGATATACAAATTAAAGTTAGTTTAGAATTTTGTTGATTTTGATTTTAAAAATCAAGTAACAAGAAAATTTGCATATAATTAAATTCTATAATTGTTCGCAGAAGGTAGAATTTATCGACTGTTTAAATACAGAATATAATGATACGCTGCAATTAATACATTTATTTTATTAGGCTTTAATTTAAAAAATAATTATATACCTATAAATTCGGCCGTCTGTCTGTCTGCCCTTCCTTAATATCGAGAACGGTGTTAGATAGATAAAAATCGAGACCAGATATGGAAAGATTGGGGACAGGAGGCCCCGAATAAATATATACTAACTTCCGGTATAGACAGGAAGTCACGTGATTTCAATTCAAACGTTTTCACCATAACAGAGTTAAATAGATGACCGACATATCTCTGTTGTTACCAGAAAAATTACGATGTACTGGGGCAAGACACTACTAATTTGGAGTGGAGAGCATATATTTTAAATTAAATAAATGAAAAATATGATTAAATTTGCAGCCTGGCATTGTGATGATGTCACAATAAATAATTGCTTGTATTTTAATTAGAATGTATCAAAACGATTTTTGTTGTAATTATTCTCTATAATTTTCTTCAAATTATATTTGTCTAAAGCAGTGTTTTCCAATCTGTGGGTGTTTTCCCTAGTGGGGTATGAGACTATTGCAAGGGGGCATGCAGCATTTTTTAATACAAACAAACAAAAAAATCAAATTGATGTTGAAAAAATGAATTAGCAAAATGGCTATGCTTAATTCACAATCTTTGTCTGAATAACTTGGGTATGAATGCTAAAAATCCATCCACGCTCATGCCAAAACATCTCAACAATAGTTGAGCCCTGGCAAACTATATACTTTATTTAATAAGGTATATTGCTTTATAGGCCATTAAATAAATTATAAGGATGGTATTTATGAAATTAGATTGTTAAAAAAATTGAAGAGTATGCAAGAATTTTTTTCTGATAAAGAGGGGTGGAGGTACAGAAAGTTTGAAAACCACTGATCTAAAGAATTTCTTTATTTTAAGGTCTTTCTAAGTTTACCATTATCCATTTTTTTAAGTCAGTGACAATAATGAATAACCAACACTATTTTTGAAACTTTTATACAGAAAATTAAATACATAATAATTTGAAAAGTTTAACTATAATTTTTATATGAGAAATAGTTTTAATTAATTTTGAATTTAAGTTTAACAACTAAATAAATTTAATAATTATTTTAAAATAATTTCACTATCAGTTAAAGAGTGAAGAAATGGATTAAAATTGTATATACAGTATAGATTTATTAATCTGGAACTTATTGATCAGAGGTGACAGATTATTGAAAATGTCAGATTACCACACAATTTTATTTTTTGAAAATTGATAAGTTATATGTGATCTGAACATTGCAGATATTGCTGTACATTTTGTATCAGCATATACTTCTGTAGGCTTCTAGTTGCACTGCAATTTGAAAAAATTATAGATCTATAAATTTCCACTTATATTGGGAATGGTGTTAGATAAATGAAATTCAAGACTAGATATGGAAAGCTTAGGGGTAGGAATCCCTGATTAACTATATGCGAACTTCCAATGCAAAGTGGAATTCACATTATTTCTGTTCAAAAATTTTGCCCTGAAAAGAGTTAGTAAGAGCAAATGAATGAAAAATATTATTAAAAATTGCAGTTTGGCATTGTCATGATGTCACAATAAATAATTGCAGGTTTGTTTACGTGTGAGGTTTGCCAATTGGGGAGAAAGTGTCACTACAATCGAGTGGTCAGCACTGTCGCGTGGGAGTGGAAAAACTTATTGAGACAGGTCCTCCATCGCAAACAGTTTATTAAATATAAAAATTTCGTTTACAACTACTGTTTTACTTCGGCGTAAGGCCTATCCGAAGAGTGAATCAGTTCGTAAATAAAGTTCAATTGTTTCGACAATCTTCTCTTCTTCTTGTGAAGATGATGACGAAAACGTAGGCTCTGGAGCACACAGCACAGCTTGAAGGGGTGATTCTCGTAGCAGGTTACACTTGGCAAAACTTGCCAGGACGGGATGGTAAAAACTTCTGAAACATCGACCAAGTTTCCGTTGTTGAACCGCAGGAAAAATCCAGAAGCGGAGCACACCGAACTAAGAACCAAGAACGTCACATCCTTTTTTTNTCAATCTTTCTGAGGAATTAGATTTATTTTATTTTAGTTTTAGTGTTTTCAGAATGTTTAAACATTTTAAAAAAATAAAAAAAAGGGATGTTTAAAGATTAAAATTACATTGACAGAAAGATTCAAGATTTAATCTTGAATGTTTCTTTCAATGGAATGGATGATGTTCAGAAAAGATTAAAAGTAAAATTGAATAAATATAATTCTTTAGATTAACTTAATTTATTCTTTAAGTTGTTGTTATAAGAATGTTTATAAAGCAAAACATTCTTTATGATGCTAAATAGTAGCTAATTACATATAAATAGTAACCAAGTGTGAATGATTCGAATGAAACTTTTATCCTCGTATTAATTTATTTTTAAAGATTCGTGTTCTTATACCCTTTTAAACACATTTAATATTTAAGGTGTTTTTAATGTTTTATGTTTTTAAAAGTCCTTTCTGTTTTTCTTTCAAACTGTTTTTAAAATTACATTAATTGATCCCTAGTACACATCTTAATGTATTTATAGTAGTAAAACAATTGTTTAAAAATTCCGAGTGAGATTTCTTACGATGAAAATAATTAATACACTGAAAATTATAATTAAAAAGCATTTTTCTGAAGTTAAATGTATTATAAGTTGGTCCTGTCAAAGGGAAACAGTAGAGTCATTTGGCTCGGGCTTCGAGTAGATTTGTTACAAATTATTCATTTCATTATATTTTTGTCTACTATATTAAGAAAAATATTTATTTTTTGATTGTTTTATTAATTGAAAAATAAAATTTAATTTTTTAACACTCCTTATTTTAATATACTGCGAGCTCAAAAAGTAAGTTGTAAGGATTTCTTATCACCTCCGAAAAGACTTTTTATAAGTATTAATAATTTATATTATTTTATTAAAATATAATTTGTTAAGTAATAATTTAATGCGATTAGAAATTATCTAGAAATGGAGCTTTAATAATGAATGCGAGTTTTATTAACAGTTCCAAAAACTTAATTCAAAATAGCATGTCGTTTATTTGTAATATAATTTCAATCAATTTTAATGTAATTTAACGTTCTCTTACTTAATATTCTGATAGAATTATGACTGTCTTTGTTCGGTCTACTCGCATTAATATAATTCTCCTACGTCACGGCCTTCACTATTGTGTTGTAAGTATAAGTTTATGAGGCGATTATCATCAATGTTGATACTTGTTTCCGCCGTATTAGATTTTGAATTAACATAACTTGAGAATGACGTAGAGGAGCAATGTTTCACGTTGAACACGAATCTTTATTTGTAAGATTCTAAGTAGAGTTGAGCACTTTATATTTTTAATCACAAAAAATTCAAAATAATGTTTTTAAGAATAAATATAGATTTTTTCGAGTTATTATTTGCTATATTATTTGCATATTAACTCTTGAAACTATTCTTTAAATGGTTTCTATAAATCATTAAACTATTTCTAGAAACTTATAGAGATTATTTAACACATATTCGATAATATAAATTTATTATAAACGATAGAATTTATTAATTTCTATATAAATAAATATAAACATTCTTAAAATTTCGAAAATGTGTAAAACTATTTGCAGAGTTTACTCCTGGATTTTTCGAAAAACTTCTTTCCTCCTCTTATTAAAAAGTCTTTTCTAAATTCCTTCCAGGGTAGAATTTATCTAAAAAATAAACTTTTGTGCAATTTGATGTTCTCTTCTTCAACAAATTGGACTTCATTGGTAGTTCCTAAGTCTGTTAAAAGGAACGACAAAGACATGATTTTATACAAAAACACCGTAAATAATTATAATGCCTTTTCTTGAAATTCAGCTATTTATATATAGTAAATTTTGAAATAAATAATACACAATTATGCCTGATTATTCACAATATATCTTCACAAATTTTACACGTAATAAAGCTTGATTTGTAATGATTTTTTTCTCCCTTATGGACTTTTCTGTAGTTTAATTCTACGATTGGCGAAAATAAATATGAAATTATTCGGAAGTTTCCAATTATTTGTTATATAAGTGATATAATAGTATATATTTTAAATGTTATGTCGTCACGGTACTGAAAAATTGTTATAACAGTTGACATTTATTTTTAAATTAATTTTCTCCTGAAAAAAATAACAATAGATTAGATGAATACATAGATCATCCTCTACTTCAAACTATGTTATTCTCATTTTGTCAAAATAATTAACAAAGCTGCCAGCATGCGGTTGACTAATTTTCTTAAAAAAAATTGGAAAAAAATGGAAACTCACTATACAAAGAACGAAGTAGAGTTATGGTGTATGTGAAAACACAATGAATGAATTGATTTATGTAAGGTTTTATTTAGTTAGAAAGTATGAATAAGTTAAAAAGTTTTTGAAAAATAGTACAATCAAATAATTATTTATTCTTGTTTATTAATGTAATTCCTTTAATTTTTCTGACTTATAAATAGTCTATATATATTTATATTTATTTTAATATTTACTCATAAAAATATTTTCTTTGCAGATAATGATTGAATAAGACCAACTATATTCTTCAGTGCTGTTTATGTTTATACAATATCTGTATGTCCTTTTTTATTTTAAAATAATTTATCAACAGTGTAACTATATTTTCTTAGGTATGGCTTATTTATGTAGAATTATAAATTAATTATATATACATATACATACATACACACAGACACACACACCTACACAAATATATATATACATATATATACTGTATATGTAGTAATAAATGTTTAATAAAGATGACTAATTTCAATAATTTTTTGCATTGAGTCATAGTTTAATAATTCTTTTCTGTATACACTTATTTTGATATACAATAACTTTAATCCTTTCAATACAATTAATGAAAAAAATGATTAAATTTCTCTTTCTAATTAATATATACATAAATAATTTTTTTCCTCCATAGGTATTTTAATTTTATATCTGTTTTCCTATTTTACATATTTAATTTTGTTATTTATATTCTATTTAATAAATTATTTTGAAGAATTAAACTTTTCGGATTTCTTTGATCTGATAATTATATTATATTTTTGTATCCTTTTTTCAATCAATTGGAAATTGTGAATTCAACTGAATAAATTTTAATTGCAATTTAAAATAAATAAATAAAAATTAAACATAGAAAGTAATTCTAATATTAAATAGATATAATTCGAAACTTAGGATTTAAAAAAAAAAAATCTCATCTGTGTTTTGAAGTGGAAATTTTTCACAATTCTTTCTCTTAATGGTCAGTTTAGACGACTTATAAAAGGTTTCTCTAAACTAAAATCGTTGCTGCAACGATAAGTCGATCATTTACATTAAGCTGAAACGTCTATTGCAAAATAAACAGTTTTCAAGCATTGTTTTTAGCATTTTAAAAGTTAAATAAAAGCTATGAAAGCTGTTAAAAGTATCGAGAATCTATATTGTATATTTAAATAAAATTTAATACAGTTTTAATATTTAAGAAATATAATTTTATGCAAACATATTTCATCTAGTTAATATTAAACCTGTATAAATATTAATACAACAGGTTTTAGATTTTGTTGATAAAAAAAAAATTAACTTTAAATATTGACATTAAACATAATTTTAATAAGCATTATCCTATTTACAAATTGTATAGAGACCATTAATGAAATAATCTGCATGTTAAAACATTTTCTAGAGTATTTATTCAATGTAAAAAAAAAAAAAAAAAAAAATTGAATATAAATCTCATTTTAAAGAAAAATTATTTGACAAAAGTAAATCTTATTAAAGTAATTTTAGAACAAACAATAACGTTTGAATTTTGCAACATTTTTAGAAAAAAAAAATCACATTTTCAAAATTTAATTAGGAAACTTTACTTTGCATTTATTTAATAAATAGATTAGCAGATAGAAAAAGCCCTGTTAACTATAAAATGCCATAAAATCTACACAATCGCTTGATAGAATGTATGAATTTTTAAATATTATATTGTGATGCAAATTTAACTTATGAAGAATCAAGACTTTGAACTTGAATGATAAAGAAGAAGAAAAATTTAAAACAGTTTTACTCAAATTTTTAATATAAACTGTAAGAAGCTTAAGTGAAGAAAAAAATTCTATCTCGTATAGACATATTAGATGTAAATAAATATTTTTTTAAGACAATTTTTATCAAATTTTAAAAATTAAATTATTTTAAAATAATTCTTTTTTATTTTAAAACAATAGATACAATATAACAAGCAATAATAAGTTTATGATAACCTTAGTTTGCCTTAAAATCTTGTCAAGACTTTTCAAAGAAAATTGTCTTGTTAAAATATAAAAAGTATTACATAAAAGTAGAAACAATATAATAAAAAGAGTATATTTCAAATATATTTTATCAAAAATTGTAGCCATTAAATACACCACAATTTTTACTTTTATATTATTACTTTCTTATATATATATATATTTATTTTTATCTGTGACATTAAAGAATATTTTTATAATTTACATAATTTAAAAAAAATGTGTTAAAAATAATTAATTTTTAAAGTAACAATAAAGAAAATGAACCACAAACGTATCAAAAAGAATAATCTAATCGTATTAAATTCATTAATTGGGCTACAATTTGAAAATATTATAAACTTATAAATTCTCACTGTTTGTCTGTTCTTCCTTAATCTCAAAAACAGTGTTAGACAGATAAAAATTAAGACCGGATAGAGGAAAGAGGACCGATTAACTATATACGAACTTCCGCTATAGAACGTGATTTCAATTCAAAAATATTCCCCTGAATGGAGTTATATAGATGACCAGCATAATTCGATTGTTATCGGGAAAAGTATGATGTACAGGGGCAAGACATTACTAATTTGAGATGGAGAGCATATATTTTAAATTAAATAAATTAAAAATATGATTAAAAATTGCAGCCCAGGATTCTAACGACGTCACAATAAATAATTGCTAGTTAAATAAATACTTTATTGTTATAGCCTACAAATTGTATTAATTTAAACAGAAATCAAATTAATATCAATATAGAAAAAATCATTTTTGCTATTGGCAATATTCATTTCATTAATTTAAAAAAAAAATAATAATAAGTAATTCATGTGTATGCATCTATTCTTCTATAACGTAGATCTGTATTGTTAATATTAAGCTTATTATTTTCTATTTTTAGATGTATTCGGCTTATAAAGTAGCTAAATTTTAAAAGCTAAATCAAGAAAGAAAAAGACGAAGTTAATAACTCTCTATAAACTTTTACAAACTTTTCTCAATAATCGCATAATCGTTATACAGATAAAAGCTGTTACGTGTTTCGAATTTTAAAACATCTTTGAAATATTCGAAATGTGTCTTTGTCAAGTTCGTGTAATTCTCGTAAATGCCCTTTTCTTCCAACTTAACTCGTCAAGGGAATCCAGCGTATTTACNTTTTAAAGTAACAATAAAGAAAATGAACCACAAACGTATCAAAAAGAATAATCTAATCGTATTAAATTCATTAATTGGGCTACAATTTGAAAATATTATAAACTTATAAATTCTCACTGTTTGTCTGTTCTTCCTTAATCTCAAAAACAGTGTTAGACAGATAAAAATTAAGACCGGATAGAGGAAAGAGGACCGATTAACTATATACGAACTTCCGCTATAGAACGTGATTTCAATTCAAAAATATTCCCCTGAATGGAGTTATATAGATGACCAGCATAATTCGATTGTTATCGGGAAAAGTATGATGTACAGGGGCAAGACATTACTAATTTGAGATGGAGAGCATATATTTTAAATTAAATAAATTAAAAATATGATTAAAAATTGCAGCCCAGGATTCTAACGACGTCACAATAAATAATTGCTAGTTAAATAAATACTTTATTGTTATAGCCTACAAATTGTATTAATTTAAACAGAAATCAAATTAATATCAATATAGAAAAAATCATTTTTGCTATTGGCAATATTCATTTCATTAATTTAAAAAAAAAATAATAATAAGTAATTCATGTGTATGCATCTATTCTTCTATAACGTAGATCTGTATTGTTAATATTAAGCTTATTATTTTCTATTTTTAGATGTATTCGGCTTATAAAGTAGCTAAATTTTAAAAGCTAAATCAAGAAAGAAAAAGACGAAGTTAATAACTCTCTATAAACTTTTACAAACTTTTCTCAATAATCGCATAATCGTTATACAGATAAAAGCTGTTACGTGTTTCGAATTTTAAAACATCTTTGAAATATTCGAAATGTGTCTTTGTCAAGTTCGTGTAATTCTCGTAAATGCCCTTTTCTTCCAACTTAACTCGTCAAGGGAATCCAGCGTATTTACTCAAAACTCGCTTACTTTTTTCTTTGTTTTTCAAAAATCTAACTGAACAATAAACATGCTAAGCGCATATCCGTGTAAGTAAAGCAAGATAAACTTACTGTCTTGTGATTGGTCGATTCGAATTTTGAAATTATATTATGACGGTTATTTTTAAATTCAAAATTAGCCAATAAGGTTTAGCGTTTTTTTTTTTAAACTATTTTCTCTTCTTAATTACTTAATTTGCATATACATTTTTGATATTTTATCTCAAAAACAGTTTTACGAAAGTAATAAAGAAAAGAAAATGTAACTAAGTTGAAACTAGATAAGATAGAATTTGTAACATTAAAATAGTTCGAGTTTCATTTAATTCGAGCCAATTGCCTGCAGTTAAGTAAGTAAAAAAAATAATAATAACGGGAACTTAACAGTGCGAACCATTATTTCACAATGTTTTAAGTAAAGAATGCGTGGTGTTTTAATATATTACTTAAAATTTCAAAAGTGCTACGTAACTATTAAAATTAAAGCTGTTAAATACTGGTAATTTTCATAAAAATAGCATCAAAATAACTCAAATATTGTTTTAACGAGACGGGAAAATTTCGTTGGCAATGGGGTAATTTCATTTTTCACCAATAGGAGCGCTAAAGATCTAATCAGTCGTCATAGCAACGTATCATCTATGTAATTGGAAGAGAAAGAGAAAGATGGATTCTCTAGTGAGGTTGTGTCGATTTACTGGTGATTCTGCACATTATCTCGGGAGGGTTGTCCATCACTTCCAAACGACAAGCAGCTTTAGTTAAGAAATCAAATAAGTTATAAAAGAAGAGTAAGATTTATGAACAGGACATTAAATAAGATTTATGAATATAAAAGACACGAGATGGCGGTCGACTCAGCATGTTTCATTTTTCTTTAGATATATATATATATATATATTTTTATAAACAGTAATAAATCTTTATAAACATTTCTCACGTTCAGTTTTAATAACATTCATCATATAATTAAAAATTAATATATATATATTATTTCTTAACAAACGTATAAATCATTAAAAACAGTAAAGTAATTAATCGCGCCATCTGATGTCATTTATTAAAAGCATTTAACAAATAACAGAATGTAAGAGAAACTCATCTCTAAGGATGAGGAAAACTGATACCTGAAGTATTCATAAATATAAAAACGATTTAATTTCGATAAACATCTGAGATATAATGTGTCATTATAGTAGATTTTCGTATACAATGGCCGAATAGAAAAATAAAGGAAATGGCAATCATCAAACAAGAAAAAAGTCTCGTTAAAAATGTAGAAAAATAATTATTTTTAATATTTAAAATAGGTCAAGTTCATCAAATTTTTGCATAAATTTCTCCCCAAAAAAATCATCTTTCGACTATTTACAGCAGCAAATTTTCATTAAATAA